ACTCCCCAATAGGAAGAAAACCCGCTGGGTTGTTCATCCTGTCACTTGTACCCAGACACAGCTGGGACTTGCTTAACTGTCTCAAGTGAACAGCTCCTCAAACAAGAAGATTAACATTTATCAACCCTTAAAAGCTTACGTTATCTTGCGGGTGCAAAATTGGGAAATCTTTTAAGAACAGTATTAACATTTGACAAAAAGTGTTTTCCTAACTCAAACAATGTGGGGTTTATTATTCTACAGTTATTCCTAATATCTCTCAGGTGTTCACATTCACGTAGATAGTGGTCAAGGCGGTGTCCATCACTCTCACCACAGATGCTGCAACTTCGCTGATCAACTGTTGTTTCCATTCCAAATCTCCATGGATATTTGTATCCAAGACGGATTCTCGCTATTACAGATTCTCTCCCTCGTCGTCCTCCTCTTCGGCCATACTGATTGGGATTGCCAGCTGCAACCATGTTGTACCATCGTACAGATTCACTGGTTTGTGCTTCTATCCTCCTTTCCTCAGTTACCTTGTCACGGTGATGTTGCCTGATAATACCTCTAATTTGTAGTTGAGTCTTGGGTATGAAGTATTCAATATGGTCTCCTTCAGCGCCTTCAGCAGCCAGCACATCTGCTCGTTCATTCCCACATATTCCAACATGGGAGGGGATCCACAGAAACTTGATGACTCTTCCCTGGTTGGTAAGTACTCTCACAGCTCTCTTGATTTCAGCGACTATTGCAAGATTTTCTGCCTGATTTTTACTTAGGCTTTGCAGTGCTGCTTTTGAATCGGTGCAAATCACTGCACCATTAGTGTTCCGTTCAAGAAACCTTAACGCCATAACAATGGCAGTTAGCTCTGCTTGCGTTGAAGAGGCATAGTTCTCAATACGTGCTTTGTCTTCATTTCTGCGTTGGAAGGTATTATCCTTGATTACCGTGTATGCTGCACCAGCCCTGCCATTGATAGGATTAGATGACCCGTCAGTGTAGATTTGATCTAATTCATCTCCGGCTTCTTTATAAATGTCCTCGAGATACTTGTGCCTCATTTCTTGTGGTATCATGTTGGATTTTTTCATTGCCATTTCAAACAAATCCACAAGTGTAGCGTTGTGTAGTGTACTGTAGTGTACCCGTCACTACCTCTTCAAATCTCGCAAACTCAGAATATGACATTTACAAGCTATTAGTCCTTAAACATACATATAAATAATAGAGTATTGTACAGAACATTTCTCAAGACAATATTAAAGCAGTGTGCCACACACACAAGAAAATATTTATTAGTATAAAAATAATCGAACAAAGAGTTCATATCTACGAGACATGGCAACAGTGACCTGACCAGTACGCAAGGGGGGGTGGGGGGTTAAGGGAGGATTCTAGAACTTCCTGGTCAAGCTCTAATACACCAATATATACATTAAGACAAGTATACACAACCTCAGCAACAATACTCTGCCTAGTACATGTGCTCACAATACAAGTACATTATAAGTACTAAGTACAATCAGTGCAAATTAATAAGAGGCTATTCCATTTGATAGCAAAGAAATGGATATATCGTAATAATGCATACATATTACTGGCATAATACATCAAGCATATAAATGTATACATGGTACATGGCAATACATAAAGTATGTTATATACAGTAATGCATAAATTCAATAATAGATACACATAATATTTCAAGTAACATCTGCCCATCTGCCCGAAACGCTGCGCGTACTTGTGGCTTTACAAGATTGTAAATACTATGCTATGTATTCTCACAAACCCAATGTACCTTCTTGTATATAAATAAATAAATAAATACCATTATTTTAGGCTATTCTATAGCCTCTTTAGCGGCAACGTCTGCGCGCTCATTTAAGGACACACCTCAGCAAAACTCCACTGTCTTAAACCAATCTGCTGCAAGGTAATGCTGTTCATGTAGTAGTTGTGACATGGATCATGTCCCACGCGCAAGGTCTTGCACTTTTCGATATTAAAAGGCATTTGCCAGTCTTAGAGAGATATGTCGGCTGCTATTGTCACAGTTGTCGCTGTCCGAAACGCTGTGCATGTTAGTGGCTTTGCAAGACTGTAAAAACACCAATGACATGTACCCTCACAAACCCAATGTGCCTTCTTGTGTGTGTGTATAATAAATAAGTAAAATAAATAAAAAGATGGATGGTAAAAGTCACTTGATACATTGAAGTCGGCAGCGTTCTCTTTCACGAGCGCCAGCATGATAGAAAACGTGATATACTGTGTTAAATCGTTCAGATTGTGGGAGACTAAATTAATTGGAATCAAGCGTCTACCCATAATTTACTAATTTTGAGCATGTTTCGGTCACAAAAAAAATGGTGCTAATGCTGTCAAAATTGAAATGCGGCAATCCAAATTTATACGTTTAATATATATGTTGGGCCAACTTCCTTAGTTGTGAATGACATTTTTTTTTTATAACCAAGCTTAGGTATATACACAGCAATACCCTGCTACCCTATTCTATATGAAAGATTACACAGTGTAGATCAAAAACTAGCTATAAGTTCATGTAATATTCCCATCTCTCAATATGGTTAGTAATACGTGGAATCAGGAGAGAAAATAAAATATAAGGCAGATCTATTAGCTTCCACTAGCAAAATCTGGGTACAACACAAAAATATCTTCCAATATTCCTTAGTGTATGAAGTAATTACAGAGCTCAAAGTACCTCATACCATTTGGTCTGAAATCACTGATAACAGGGCAGTCACAGATATAGTGTTGGAGAGTATGTCCCAGCTCTTGTTCACATAGTTTACAATTGGAATGTCCACCATTGAGGGGATTCATTACCTGCAGCCACCTGCTATAGATATCGATATCCCAGCATAATTCTGGCAATTACAATGCCATACTGTCTGGTGGATGTTTTATGCTGCCCGTACATATAATTCTCGGTTCTAAACATGTCATAGCTCTTTATACTCGTGCTTTCTGACCTTCGTGAAGGTTATAAGCACCGAAGGTTGGGTCTGGCCAGTTCCTGGATGGGTGGCTACCGCTGATAGCCTCGTCCATGGCTAAACTGATTACTTCACCAACCATAAATTGTGATTCGTCTCCATGATCACAAATACTATAGCGACAAGAAAAGCTTCTCATCAACAAAATATTTGTTGGAGAGAAATGCGAATCCTTGGGAAATACTGTAGATCCACTGGCAACTCACGGTTCGTCTCGCTTTAATTAAACCTATTATATGTGTTTCATAAATATATTGTCATATACGAATTATTATATGTAAAAAAAATAAAAAGTCATTTGCTACCTCTTACATTTAAGGAGAACAGAGATTTCGTCATTATCGGGTAACCTGTGGCGCAGTGGTTAGCGCAGTCGGCTCACAACCGAACGGTCCTGGGTTCGAATCCCAGGCAGGGCGAGACGTATGGGCAAGTCTCCTTACACCCGTTGCCTCTGTTCACCTAGCAGTGATTAGGAACCTGGGTATTAGTCGACTGTTGTGGGTCGCATCCTGGGGAATGGTCAAATGCTGCACATATCCGAGGTATACTCGAATTTCCCACAAACGCCGCAAGGCACAGCACGAGGAAACGCCGCAAGGCTAACACATAAAAGTGAAACATGCCGCAAGGCAACTACAAGCCGCAAGGCTCAGCAACGAGTGGGCCGGAAGGTCCCAGAGTCCAAAAAAAGGGTTCACGCCCTAAGTCAAAGAGTGGGTTCACGCCCAAACAAGTTAACTTGTAAATGGGAAGTGGGAACCCTGCAGTGTATCTCGGATAGTAGCGTCTGACTATTTTGGTATTTATCCTATTTTATATTTAATAGTATTTATATATATGTATATAATATGTATGTATATATGTATAATTCTTTCAGACATGGTTGGGATTTTAGCCCTTTCCTTATGTAGGCGATGAGTCACAATAACGTGGCTGAAGTATGTTGACCAGACCACACACTAGAAGGTGAAGAGACGACGACGTTTCGGTCCGTCCTGGACCATTCTCAAGTCGATTCTGTATGTATATATGTCCCTTTCCTTATGTTGTTGATTCTTGTGCATTTGCAGGGGCTCCAAAAATTATCTTCTCGGCTTCATTTGAAATATTTTATAATTTTCTTAACCTGCTGGTTAAGAGATGATGGGGGGGTTAAGATTACGCTGGGGAGATTTATAAGGTGCTGAGTATGGCAGTCAACTACTGGGACTTAATGAACACCATGTAGAACATTCCGCCACATTTAACATTAATACAAATGTGCTTTCCAACAGTTATTATTAAATGTTTCAAATTTTTGTTTGTTTATTTATATATTTATCTTGCTATGCCTAAGTGACAGTGTCACTATTAATATTCATACGGAGACATTTGTATTTACCTGAGGGCCACTAATACTAGTGGTCTCAACGAGGACAGGAAGCCGGCGGCTTGTCAAAGTCCCCCCCCCCAAAAAAAAAGTTATTACCTATCTTTTTCAATAAACTGTTGATACAATTTTATGTACAGTCTACGTATTTAGAGACTTCTGTCCCACTACCTGTCCGGAAAATATTTATATTATTTGTTGGAATAATATTAGGGAGAAATAAACTATGCCCGAAACGCTTTGCGTAATAGTGGCTTTAGGCATTGTATGTACTAGCTCTACCTATAAGTCAACCAATCTTTGTAAAAATTTATTGTATGTATGTACCTTACCTAAATAAACATTTTATTTTATTTTATTTATTTATTTTATTTTATAATCCGAGTAAGAGATGTGAAATATATTACGCGAACGTTTTGTTTACCAACAAGACAGTCGGACACGTGATGGAGAGTCCAATTCAGCACCAACAACGGAGCAATTGCTACAGACACTGAACCTTATAATATAATCATCTTTGTCGTTTATTATGGATTTAATTAATAAATTAATTTAACGGACGACGTTAATTTCTGTAGTTTGAATCGTTGCTTAATGTTATCCTGGTGTTTGATAGGGACTTTGGTCTCACATGTTGAATACGTGTACAACGGGGCGACAGAACTGTCTATGGTTTATAGGTTGGACCGTCACAATTCTGCCGTTCGGCTGCGAATTTGTTAAGACTACCTGAAGTTCACAGGACGCCTGACGCCTTATCGTGTGGGGGGTGACATTGGTGTCGCTAGTTTAGTGTTTAAGAGTGTGGTCTGGCGCTCACATACTCGTGAGACTTCAGGGACTCGCCAAACTGCTTACCAATATGTTTTATCTTCCGCAAGGCACAGTAGTTTTGCAGCGACAGGCAACGTGTGTTTCAGTACTTTCTTCAGTGTGTCAGTAAAACAACAAGGCTTTGCGTTTTATCCTACACTGGAACGCCGGGACACATCGACACAACTTGTGTCGTAGGATGTGAAGCCTGTTTAAGATCGTCAGTGTCCTTGAGCCTAGAGAATGACTCTTGAGTCACCCATCTAGGCATTGGCCAGTTATAACAGTGCTTAACCTGACGGAGCGAGTAATACATCACCCACACTCCCTCATCAACGCCTACAACAGCAATTAAACACTATGAAAAAAAAAATTAATTTAAGTTTTGACATAGAAAGTTAAAAACTCAATAAGTCAATACAAGAGTACCAGTTTGCAGGCTGGATAGTGTGAATATGAAAACCATTCTGGGCTATATTCAAGAAATTTATCCCGTAACTTAGTGCACTATGTTGGTTGTTATGGAATCAATAATTAAGAGTAACACGAGAAAGACTCTTGTTATGATTTTAGGATCATTGTGGATTCTAACAATCATTGTTCTCTGCTATTGTGGATGTCACATGCAGCTATTATCCCTGGAAAATGATTCGACTAATTCTCAAATCCTTAAACGTTTTGGCAAAAGTTAGTATAAATCTACAATATTTGTAAATCTGTCCAAAGCTACCCTAGGCTGCCTTGAAATTATATAAAGATCAAATGAAGGGTATTATATTATTGTGATACTGTCAATGAATAATGTGAGAAAAAACTATTTTACTGAGACAAGCATTATTGAGTGAAATTATATTTTCTGTATTTATTTACAGTATCACAGTAAACACTTATATTACAGTAGGACACTGTTTACCTGAATTTATATAATACATACTAGGTGACTTGGGTGTTGTGACCTAGGGAAAAGATTGTGATTATAGGTATGTAATGTATGATTATGTTACGTTGCTGGGTAGATTAGATACACAGTGTTTAGTGGGTTTTCATAATTATTTTAGTAGTCTCTGATACAGCAGTGTCATAGAAGTTGAGACGAAGCTTGGAGCAGAGCAGAGAGCTGAGTGAGGGCTGGAGTCACGGAAATCTATGTGGGAGAGCGTGGTGGCTCGATGGGGAGCGAGAGCGTTGTAGCTCGATGCGGTCGTAGTCTGCTGTCTGCTCTGTGTCGAAGTTGTAGCGTCTTGGGTCGGTAGGAACTGTACACGCCGAGTGCTACATTCTTGAGGTTGAAGAAGTGTGGTAAATCCAAAGTGTCTGTACTGAAGTTAACTGAATCACTTTGGAAATTGTACTGTTGGCTATTCAATTGATTGATTGATAAAGATTAAGCCACATACAAGAGATGGCATGGGCATAAATTGCCCGTAATTGGCTATTCGCTTGCTTATATTTGGTGACTACATCCTATTGGAGCGTATATTTGGTCTTTCCATCTTATTGGAGCTTCCTCCAATAGGATGGAAAGACTGTTACCTGTAATTAGGGAAAAGATTATAGCTCTGCAATTAGTGCTAATTAGTTTGTCATTAAGATAAGGAGAGATTGGAGCGAGTATAATGTTTACTTGCTACAGGTATGAGTGACATCATATAATTACATAAACAAATCCACAAGGGCCGTGACGAGGATTCGAACCTGCGTCTGGGAGCATCCCAGACACTGCCTTAATCGAATGAGCTACGACAGGGAACAGGGTTTTTGTTCATTTGATGCATCACGTTAGTGTTATCTCTGTGTGTAATATAATTACATACTTTTGTAAGGGACATTAATGTGTATGAAAACTAGCTAGTGATCTTAAGTGTTAAGTGATTCACTCATCACCATCTTTCTTTTTGTTAAAATAAGAGCTAATGGACAATATTAGTTTAGTGTAAAGTCACCAGTCTCTACACTTTAGAAAGTTATTGGCATTCTTGGGCTAAATAGTAGCTATATTAGTTTATTATAAAATTTAATGGTATGAATAAAAGCAATGTTGTTCTAAAAAATGACATGAATGCTGAATTAACATTGGCTGAAGGTCAAGTATAATTACTGAAGTATAGTTACAGGATGAGGGCTATGCTTGCAGTGTCCAGTATTCCCTATAATCATCATACAACTTTCAAATTACTGTACTTATGGTTTTGGCATCTACCATTTTCTCATTTATATTGTTGCCATCATCTACATCTCATTTCATTTAATAAAACTTCTAGTCATCTTTTTGCACCTTTGCTTCAGCTTAAGACTATAGTCCCTTGTTCTAGACACTGTACATGTTAAATTTTTTGTGAACTTTGTTGATTCCTGTCATAGTTTTTTGCTGTTATTATATTTCCTCTTCCTTTTACTAGATTTTACATTTTAACATCCAGTGTTACCTCATAGCTCTTGTTTTTTAGGTCTGGAAACTATTTGGTAGCATGTCTGCTAATAGATGATAGTTGAGGTTCATGTGTACAAGCATCTCCATGTGAATGCTGTGTTAAATTTGGGCAAGCCTAAAGACGTTTGTTGTGCATGTATTTCTGCAATAAGATCCATGGAGTTTAAATAAATTTATACCTTTGAGAAATATTTTACACTATTGTATATGTAACACATTTTTCTCACTGACAAAGCTATAATATTTTTCAGCTCACAAGAACAGTTCGAAGAATGGAAGTTCTGCAGACATTAAATTTGTATGTTATTATGCAATCCCTAACAATAGAAGTACTGAGGCGCTTCTGACCATAGATGATGTTGATCCAACTCTTTGCACACACATTATTGCATCTAAGGCCATTATTGAAAACACCACCATTGTCCCAGAAAATGCAGGAGATTTAAAGGTAAAAATAATATATGTATGATATATACAGTACAGTATATCATGTTCAGTTCACTTGCCTATTTAAGCTCATCCTTTTTTACTATACAGTACTGTAGTTTTTTCTTTTCTTTGGAATAATTTATATTGTAATACCAGTCAGTACAGTATACTTTTTCTCCATTTTTGCTTGGCTGTCACTGATTACTATTTTCTGTCTTATATATATATATATATATATATAATATATATTCATTCTTCTGGGGTTCGGTTCTTGCCTTTTTCAGTTTAGTTGCGCCGTTTCTAGCAATTCCACCCTGTGAAAATGCCGTGCTGAAGAGGCTGGTATGTTTTTTCTTTACTTTTTTATACTTGCTAGCTTGGATTCTCTGGGTGCTGTTCCATGATGTGGGGGGCCACCTTCAGTCTGCATTGGCCGTTCCTGTGTGGTTCTATTCGGCCTTTGTGTGTGGTTTGGAAGATTGGCAGTTCAGTTTTCTCTCTGTTCTCGATGGATTTCCATTCTGTTTCTTTTCTTGCATGGGGTCTCTTCTTGCTGCTGCAGTTCATTTTCATCTATCCTGGATTTTGTCCTTTTTGTTTATCTCTGCTTTCTCATTTGACTTTTGGACTTTTTCTTTTGACTTTGTGGATGGCCTCTTGATTTGTATTTCTAGTTTTGTTGGTCGTCTCTTGGCCATCCTAGTTTTCTTTTTTCAGGGTCCATTTCATTTTGATCAGAGCATTCTCAATTGCCATTTTGGCTCTTTGATGGTTGTGGTTCCATGTCTGTTACATGTTTTGTTTTTACCCTACCCTTCTAGTGGCCGCTATCACGGTGAGGGTGATGACATATTCCCTGCTTTTTGTACCTTTGTGGGGAGTACCAGGTTTTGGCCCCTGGTACCCAGTAGGCTTTTATTGAATCTCAAGGGCCTGGTGTGACTGGATAGGCGAGGAACTAACTGTAGTGGCTAGCAGAAAGGACATTCCATTCCCTTCCGTTTTGTTTTAGGGCTTGCCCTGTGCTGCATGGAGCACTAAGTCTTAATATAAAGTTGGCAGCTGCTTGCTACTATGTACATAAATCGGTGTATATATACAGTATCTGGTTGTGATTGGAGATAGTGGTCAGTTGAGCCAACTAGCTGTTAGCAGAGAACCCTTTTGCTGTTTATTTGATGCTGAATAGCACTGGGAAGTTTTCAATGTAGATAATGAACCTTCTGAAGGTGATTCCAGGCTGAATAATCTTCACCAGTCTCCCTTTCTCTAGTATAACTTGACAGTGACATTTGAAGGGATGCCAGCTGTGCTGAAGTAAGGTGTAAATGTGGACCTTCTTTGGCCTGTTCAGAAATGAACAACTCATCTTGTCTCATCATCAACTCATCTCCAAGCATTATTTTGGTTGTTTCAACTTCTATACTGTCATGCTGAAGTCTCTTTCAATTACTTGTGATGTAATGTTAACAATACGAATAACTGAAGGATATTGTTATGTTTCATATCTAAGATTGTGTACAGTATTTTTATTACTGAATATAATGTTATTTTAATTTGCCAACTTGCACTTTGTGTTCATTATTGTATAAATTATAATATTTTTGCATATGCACATGTCAAAATCATTATTTTACATATATAGTGATACCCCTGTATGTATTATATATAATTTAGCTATATGCTGAGGTAGTGGCTCTGAAGAAGCAAAATCCAGAGCTGAAGGTGATCTTGAGTCTTGGTAGCGGCTTCTCTCCTCTTGTTCAAGACCGTATGGCAGTTGCCATGTGAGTCATAATGTTTGCCCGTATTGGTCATAAAATGGTAATTTAAATACAGTTACAGCAAGTTAAATGAATGATAATTTTAATTTTCATGTGCATAGTAAATATTAATAAATTTCCATTGTACATAACTGCCTTTGAAATTGATATGACAAACTTGATTTATTTCACTTCACAATTACATATTGTATCTATTTTTTCAATGTTAAGGAAGCTATTTGGATAATTTAGCTGAATAATTTAGTTTAACTGCACTTTGTATAAAGAACAAATTACATAATTTCATACTTCATGCAGGTTTGCGTACAATGCTCATAAATTTCTAATTACCCATGGATTTGATGGTCTTGATCTGGACTGGGAGTTCCCTGCATGGCCACCTGGGAAGAAGCTACCAAAAGAGAAGACTTGGTTCACATACCTCCTCCTTCAACTTAACAGTGCTCTCAAGGTAAGATAAGATAAGGTAATAAGATAATTTTATTCAGGTAAAAGTACATACAGTACATTCAAAATGAGTTACAAACATAATGTTGGATTTCTAGATAGAGCTAGTATATACTATGCCTAAATCCACTAATATGCACAGCATTTCGGGCAAAAGCATGTCAAAACAGGTATATCTATTTCAATGAGTACAGTTTACTACAGATTATCATATTGCAATCAGATTTTATATTTAACCCCTGTACTGTGCACCTGTTTCGTAAGACAACTCCATGGTGCACATGAAAAAACTAATTTTTTCTTTATAATATTGCTAAAATGCATTCCCTGATCATGGGGAATGCATTTTAGCAATATTATGTAGCTACTGGGTGGATTTTTCTTTATGTAAACTTTGCAATTGTATTTTTTTTTGCTTCACTTCCTTCCTAGGGGTTTGATTCTTTGATGAGGGTGATCATGAATCACCTGGTTCCTGTGTGCCTCTTAAGTGAGGCCAGGCTTGGCTTCTGGTCTCCAGTTGGCTATTAAACTACTCACAAGGGCTGATGCAACTCAAGTGTGGAGCTACCTCAGTGCAGCTAGCAGCAAGAATCCACCTTTCATTCCCTCCAGAACATCACAATGAAGCATAGTAAACCAGCGGCCCATACCAAAAATCAATGATAGGCATGTTAAGAACAGGAGAAACATTGTCAACTAATGCACACCTAATGGCATTAATCAATACATGATAAAAGGTATATGAAGCCACAGAATATAATAAAAACCATTCCTTTATTACATTGAGTCACACCTGAGAATAAGCACAAAATTCTCAGAGGAATTGACAAGGTGGACAAAGACAAACTATTTAGCATGGGTGGAACACGAACAAGGGAACACATGTGGAAACTGAGTATCAAATGAGCCACAAACACACTAGAATTTTTTCAGTGTCAGGGGTAGTTAAGAAATGGAATGCATTAGGCAGTGATGTGATGGAGGCTGACTCCATACACAGTTTCAAAGATAGATATGATAAAGAGATACAGACTCTGGAATCTGTGCACCAGTTGACAACCTGTCCTCCTGTTTAGATAGTACTGTGCTTTTTGTAATTATGTGCACCATAGTATTGTACAAACATTGACATACTAAGCAATTAGATAGTAGAATTTTGTACTACTGTATTCACTTTATAGAGTTTGAAAAAATGAAGCTAAAAACACTTAAATATTCCTAGGCCTAGTATAGCACACACATGGACTATATTAGGCCTAGGAAATTTAAGTTAGGTTAGTTTGTCTTTGCAACACAAGTAAAAAATCTTCTTCCGGTTTGTCCAAATTCAATATTACCGATTTCTACTTTCTAATTGTGTTGTACATCAGTATTTGTACGATGGTCTTCATTCTTCCTATAAGTACCATTAAAACAGGAGGATGGGCTGCAGTTGGTTGACAGTTAAGAGGAGGGACCAAAGAGCTGAAGCTCGGCTCCCACTAGTACAGTGATGCGAGTACCAAGCACTAAAAAGCCACACCTGAGAACAGACACTTGGCATTAACACCAGTAGGATTAGGTCCAAGAACACAGCTAATAATAACTAGACTACAGTTAAACTACATCAGCTGTGCATAAATAGATCTTGCTTATTGACAGACTCAAATAATTCTTGACACAAGGGAAACTAAAAAACAAAAACAAAAAAAAGAGAGAGGAGGCACTTAAACCCTCAAAGATAACTCTGGGTGGACAAGGTAATTGTTAACAGGCTAGCCAGGGAAAATAGCCCAAGATGAAAGGCAGGGTTGTTGGAACTTCTGAATCACACATGTGTGACAAACATAATTTGTAAAGAATAAATAACTAGAAAACAATAGCACAGAAGGCCTCTACATGGTACAGAATGTCCAAAGATGGCCAAAAACAACACCTAATTCTGTGTAAAAAAAAAAATGCCAAATCTAGCAGAGCTCTGTTGACAAACTAATCAGACTTCAAAATTATTACATAACCAGCTGATGACCGCCCATGATTTGGGAGGCCAACTGGCGGTGACTATTTAATTTACATGCTTTTAAATTGTACCACTCATTGTTTCTAACAAGCGCTGTATGTTTTTAGTTGTCATTATAACTTCCAGTGCAGTTTGTCTTAGTAATTACCTAAGTGTATTTACAGGATGAGAGCTATGCTCGTTGTGTTTCGTCTTCCCAGCATTCTTATCATATAATGCCTTGAAACTACAGTTCTGACAGTTTTAGCCTCCACCACCTTCTCACCTAACTTGTTCCAACCATCTACCACTCTGTTTGCTAAAGTGAATTTTCTTATGTTTCTTCAGTAGAGTGCAGTGTATTTTGTGACCTGTATGCTTCCCTCGCCTCTATGTGAACCCCAGATTCTGGTTCTGTGGGTTAAATTGAACGTTGCCAAATGAATGATTGTTGATATTTATTGTAATGAACCAGAGCCTATAGCTCAATGAAATCACTGAAGGTTCAAATTCAGAAAAAGTTTATATAGAGGTAATTGAAGATAAGTAAGCAACGGGTATTTTCAGCATTTCCGTAAAATGCACAAATAAATGGATTTGCGGGGTTATAAAAATATATGCTGTCTTGTTAAATATGTGTCCCTTTTCATTGTTATGGGTGGATGAACAGCATCAAGGTTTAAGTTCCGGTATACAATAGTAAGATACTTAATTACTGTACTTACAATATCTAATTAATAGTGGTAAGCATTGTTCAGTCTCGGGAGACTATGGAGTTGCGCTCTGGTTGTCAATCTGCTTGATATCTAATTATATATTAAGATGTCTACTTAATAAATGGGGGGTTCTGTTTTGCATTTCTACAATTATAATTCCTCTGTTACACAATGACTTTCCAAAAGATTTGTGTTTCAAAGTATTGTACCAAAGCCATTTGTAATATGCAAGCCATGAGATATAAAACACTTTATACTTCCAGCTAGCGTCCCATCCCCCACTCTTGCTGACTGTGACTGTTGGAGCAACTCAGAGTGTCATAGATAACTCATACGAGATTGACCAGCTTGCTAAGTATGTTTTCTACTGTACATATAGCTTCAAGTATATTAGCTTAAGTATTTAAAGTCCAACTTGATAAATAAACTTTGTATGGCATTGTGGCAATATTTAACAACAGCCTAATTATTATTCCAGGTTATAAATTTAAAATTTGTGCAGCAACACTTATTAAACCTGCCCTTCTACAGAGTTTGGAACTTCTCAGAGAAGTGCCCATTCATTTCTGTACCTCCTGTTATAATACTAATCATAATATATTTATTATAAAAAATACTTAATTACAGCATGAATTTTATGTAACGTATAGGGTTCTAAATATTCACTTAGTTGAGCTTGTGGGAGTTGAGCTCTGCTCTTTCGTCCTGCCTCTCAACTGTCAATCAGTCGCCTGTTACTAGCTACTAACTTTTTTTTTCCTACACCCCCTTTCCCCCCAGGAAGCAGCCCGTAACTGCTGTCTAACTCCCAGGTACAATCTGCTACATAACAGGGGGCATCAGGGTGAAAGAAACTGTCCATTTTGTTTCTGCTATCACCGGGATCAAACCCGGACCTAGGATTACGAGTTCAGAGCGCTGTCCACTCAGCTATCAGGTCCCCACCTGTTGTGTTGGTAGAGTGGATTTCATTAGTTTCAGAATGACTTCAGGTGATATTAGAGTTACTGAATATTGTTTGCCGGAGATGTTTGTGATATGAAGGGTATCTGAGTTACAGTGAGCAGTTGGCTCAGCTGGAGTTTCAGCTCACTTCTTGCATATTGGTGTGGTAAGGAAGGGGGTTCTTTTTGGAAGGAAGATGTAATAGTGTTGATAACTGGTAGTCAACAGTTGAAACTGTGATGGTTTATGATGAAGATACATATTTGAAATTCCTGCCAATGTAGTGGCTAGTTCTGCACATGCGAAGTGCATCGTCACAGTGAAAATGTTCCCCTCTAAAATATTATAAACATTAAATCAAAAATGGAAAATAAATCAAGTAATTCAGTGACTGCAAAATAAGTTGTAAAAATTGGTGTTAAAGGTAGGAAATCAGTTTGGGATTTAATCTATATCAGTTTTTGTCCTCATATCTCTTCCTTGTGCTATGAAGTCAATACTCGTTTAACATGCTCTTGTGATAAGGTAATTATCTCCCTTCAGCTCACTGTCTTTTTTAACCTAATGATTTATTAATACCTGATTGGACCTAGAGCATATGATTGAATTGACATTTATGTTTTAAAAACCTTGAGATCTTGTATCTTCCAGTAATGCTTGATCATTATTGTACAGTATATAATTAATCATGGTAATTTCAGGTGTGTTGACTTTGTGTCATTCATGGGATACAACTATCACACGTTCAAGCCATACTTGCCCTTCACAGGCCATAACTCTCCACTTAACAAGTCCAGTAATGAAGAAGGCTATTTTTCTACCCTCAACATCCAGTGGGACACTATCTATTTGATGAAAAAAGGAATACCAAAAGAGAAACTTGTTATAGGGATACCTACATTTGGACGTACATGGAAGTAAGAAGCTACACATCTTCCTGATAAGTTTTTCACTTAGTGTACTGTTGTATCTTTTTTTTCTCCCCTAGGAGGTCCTCAGTAGGTCTCCATAGTTTGTACTGTGGTAAATCCAAGCTTTGAGAAGTGCATCATGTCTCCGAGAACCACACTGACGTACTGGGACTCGGAACAAGTATCTGGCACTTTCTATAAGGAGAGGGGAGTTTGGAGATTAGAGTTTGCTTCAGAATTTCTATCCTGAATTAGTAATCTGTTCTGTTTTGTCAATTGTTGGAGTGGATTTTTCTTGATTTTAGGTTGATCCTTAATTAAGCTTCCCTCACTTCAGAGTGTCCAGCAAAGTCAGTTTGGTAAAGAATTTTTTTTTTTAATTCTGTAATAAGAGGCAAGTGTTTTGAATAAAAATAAAAACATAAGGATCAGTATTGGTTAAGGAAAGATAATATAACTTTATTAGTATTAAATGAATATGTGCTTAGTGCTTTGCATATACATAAGCATATGCATTACTAGGTTTTATGTCTAATATTCCAAGTGCATTAGAGAAGCTTATAAAAGATGATAGCTTTTTCTTCAAGCATCCCTTCCTATTATTCATATGTACAGTCCAAAACTAAACTCTCATAGTGTATCTGCAGTCCCATGTGTATTTTAACTATCTTTTGTATCAAATGTTTATAGCAATTGTTTTGTTGTTGAATGTGTCACAAAATTTTCAGGTTACTTGAAAGTAAATGGTATGGTGTTGGGTCTCCTGCAGTTGCTGAAGGCATGCTGGAGGGAAAAATTACATACCTTGAAGCTTGTATCTTTGTGAAGGAAGGAGCTACACGCTACTTTGATAATGAGAGCAAAGTTCCTTATGCCGTGAGAGACAGAGACTGGGTATCCTATGAAGATGTTGCTAGCATAAAAAATAAGGTACAGTACCTGTATATTGAAAGTTCAAATGTCAGAAGGGCTGTTAATATCTGCATGTACAAAATTATCATTTGAAAATCCTTTTCTAATTTAATTACATTTAGTTGCCAGTGATAATACTGCTTATCTCTTGTTGCAATAATAATGTGTAAACATTATCAGTAATGATAATGTTTCTAAGCAACATTATGAAAGCAAAACCACTGGAAAATTTGAAGCATATGCTCGAGTGAGAGTGGTTGGATATAAATAAAAGCTGCTATACATGGACCTTAATTATTAACAAACTTACACTTGACCTGAAAATTACTACAGCTGTTATCTGCCTTTCTTGCCCATTATTAGAGTAATACTTAGAATATGAGTAACCTCAGATATGTGTTCATATTTCAGGTACAATGGATCCTTGATACTGGTTTTGCTGGAGTGATGACCTGGACTCTAAACAGTGACGACTGGGCAGGGATGTGTGCCAAACAAAAATTTGAACTACACTTAACCATCAAAAATATGCTCAATCAGCAATTGCTGAAGAATTAAGGATCTAAAGTTTTTATAACTTTTCCTTGGTGCTTATAATGTTTAATGTATGACAGAAAAATGGGCACATGACCTTTTATACTATGGTTTCTAGTCTATTACATTACCCGGTAATTTGTTTGCTTTACGTATACATTATTATGTATTTTTACATACTTATCACCATATTATCTATAAATACATTTTATCAATATTATTTCTAGGTGTATTACTTTCATCCCTCCCAACAAACTTATCAATGTATGTCATTCAGAGGTTAAGGCCGAAGGCTTTTCATACAAAGATGGAATAATTTAAACAGGAAGATTAAAGAAATCGAACAGAGACTGAAGTATTCATATCAGATTGAAGAAAGGCAACTAGAAGAGAAAGCAATTCAAGAAATAAAGAAAAACCCAAAATATTTCTTCACATATGCCAAATCAAAAGCAAAAACCACTGCCAGTATTGGACCTATTCGTACTAGTGAAGGTTCATACACTGAGGATGACAAAGAAATTAGTGAAAAGCCTAAAAAAGCGGTATGAGGACACGTTTAGCACTCCGATAAACAGCATGAAAGTGGAAGATCCGGACTTCTTTATGCGTGATATGCAAACCCCTGTTAATATAACTGATATCAACACGAGCGTGACAGATTTTGAAAGAGAAATTGACAATATGCCCATGCACTCAGCCCCGGGTCCAGACTCAATATTTATAAAGAAATGCAAAGTGCTAGTAGCACAGGCACTCGGTATAGTGCGGAGGAAGAGCTTGGACACGAGAGGGATACCAGATGCACTTAAAGCAGCAGACATAGCCCCTCTACACAATTATAGACCAGTTGCACTAATGTCCCACATAATTAAAGTATTTGAGAGAGTGATCAGGAGTCAGGTCGCTAGTTTCATGGAAACCAATGACCTCCACAATCCAGGCCAACATGGATTTAGAGCAGGAAGATCTTGCCTCTCACAGCTACTTTACCATTACAACAAAATCACTGAGGCATTAGAAGAAAAACAGAATGCAAATGTGGTATACACGGACTTTGCAAAGGCATTCGCTAAATGTGACCATGGCACACAAAATATGGTAAATGGAAATAACTGGTAAAGTAGGATGCTGGATACGCAGTTTTCTGTTGAGTATCTGTACTTTTCTGCAATCAACAGCCTAGTACACCAAACTCTCACAAGTCAAGCCTGGGCTTGGGGAGTAGAAGAACTCCCAGAACCCCATCAAGCAGGTATCAAGGATGGGAAAGGATTAAACCTTTTTTTTATCTGAATTACTTGAGAGCCACCATCTCTCTACAGGCCACAACTGGGATAAAGCCCACTGGCTTGTTAAAGGTCCTACCATTGCCCCTGAGGATATACCCCATATGGATTTTGAACCAAATAATGTTTTGGCATTTATAGTTGGTAGGCAATTCCATTAGTTTATAACCTTACAAGTGAAATAGCATTTCTTGTTTTCTGTCCTACATTGTAGCTTGTTGAGCATGAAGTCGTCATCTCTTTTATACATTACATTTGATTTTAAGGAAGTGATCTTGATTAATATCCTCCAGTTTTTCTGGTTTGCAGTATAATAATCGTGTAGCTTTCCCCCCATTCCTGATATGAGAGTTGACTTAGTTTGGAATGATTTTTGCCACTCTGTGCTGAATTTTCTCCGATATAGACAATTTTTTTATTTTGAAGGTGAGGGCTCCATGCTTGATACAGTAGTCCAGGTGGGTGGAGCACCAGAGATCTTAGCATTTGAATAACCACTTCCTCCTCTTTTGGTGAAAAGTTCATTATTTTTCTGGGAGGAATACAGTAGCCTTGGCAGAGCTTATACATTGGGACTTCCAAGCCTTGGCTCTATGCACCAGACATCCAAGCTCACTTATCAAGAGTCGGGAATCTGACTCACTCTACAAGGTGAGAATCAGATGTAAACCCAAAACCAAGGTAAAGCCCACCAAAGAGCACTATTGCAACTGTTTAAATTAAATTAGAAACACCTTTATTGTGATTTTCCAGGCTGCCCCAGATCGCCCACTGCCCCATCCAGATTACCCTTCACTTGTTTGCTTTAATAATTCTACTCTACACATGCTCTATTTGACAGGGCTAGTTTTCAGCTTTATAGTTGCTACAGGTCTTATTGACCTACATGTATTACCTGCCCAGTTATAGCTTTCTCGAGAATGGATGCATAGTGGGTGTGAGGAGGACAAGGAGAGGGGAAGGACAAGGGAAGAGAGGTGGGCACCACCAGGGGATTGAACCTGCAGGTCAACACAGGGCGTGACTCAATCACACCAACGCCTACCCCAGCCCATCCAGGAGCAATGAAAACTGCCAACAATGATGGAACCACTCAACCCTTTTGACTCCTACATGGTGGACATAGCCAACAACGACCCCAGAATGGCGACCTTTCAAGTACCCCTGAGGGACCCGAAGATAACCCACTCGGGGTGTGATGTCATACTGTCAAAATTTGACAAATTAGCATCCACATAATGCAACACCGAGGAACTGTGTACCCCTCGCAGATTCATACTGAATCTGCGGTACTCACAGATTTGGTGTGAAATGTGGTCACGTGGTTTGAAACAACCAAAAACACCCAGGCCAATGGCCATCATCGTCCGTACCAGCACATCTATAACACAAAGACACGAAGACGGCGACAAGAATGTAACCCCTGTCAACAGCAGCATTATACAAACTGTAATCTTCAACCCCTTATGGCGCCCTGAAAGCAACAGAGACAGCCCATCAAGCAAAAAGACCAAGAGAAAATAACTCCTAACTCCACCAACTGAAGGCAACCGCTTTTGTTGGTGTAACTCTTTAGAGTTATGGGGACCTAATCATTGCCCGTTTTTATTTATTCTTTTTGAACGCCATGCCCACCACCGTGAAGACTGATACAGAAGATTTCAACACCATTGAATAAAGAAGACTCCACCACTCAAGAGAACAGTAGTCCTCGCTTCGTTACCCACGACATGAAACCACACCTAGATTGATGAAACTTTCAGTTTACGTCGTACAGGTGGATTTAGCCCTGGCTCTGTCTCCGATCTTTCCTCTCACCGGCTTTTCTTCAGCTATACTCACTTCCCCACTCAACCGATGGGTATCTTGCCCTATATTTAGTTGATTGCACCACCGGGTACCCCTCCAAAAGTAATAATATATTACTATATTATAAATAAAATAATAATATATAATAAAATAATAATAATTTTATTCGGGAAAGTACATACATAGTTGATTTACAAACATAATGTTGGATTTATAGATAGAGCTACTACATACAATACCTAAAGCCACTAATACGCATAGCGTTTCGGTGCAAGGTGAGGTGGGGGAAAAAACACAGATTAAAACTTAATTAATAGTAATTGATTGAGCTTAAAGTATAAATTGCATTAAAAAGAAGTTGGTCAACAAACAGCATTGTTTAAAAATAGTAAGACATGGGTTTACATTTAGGGGTAAGGTAGGTTACATGGAGTTAATTAGGTAGTACTTAGTTTTCATCTTAAACTGGTTGAGAGAGGTACAGCCTTTGACATGATTGGGAAGGTCATTCCACATTCTGGGTACCTTGATTTGTAGAGCATTTCTAGTTTGATTAAGTTGTACTCTTGAAATATCAAATAGGTACTTGTTTCTGGTGTGGTGCCCAAGGGTTCTGTTACAACCTTCTAAGAAGCTTTTAAGGTCATGATTGACATTACAATTCAGAGTTTTAAATATATAGAGTACACATTAGAGGATGTGCAGTGACTTAATATCTAACACATTCAGAGATTTGAGTAAGGGTACCGAGTGCTGTCTGGGGCCAGAGTTAGATATTGTTCTAATAGAAGCTTTGTGTTGGGTAATTAGAGGACGTAAATGATTTTGGGTAGTAGAACCCCAAGCACAAATACCATAGTTGAGATAAGGATAGATGAGAGAGTAATAGAACGTCACCAGGGCAGGGCGAGGTACATAATATCTGATCTTAGAAAGAATGCCAACAGTTTTAGAAACTTTTTTTGATATATTTAGAATGTGTCCCTGGAAATTCAGCTTGTTATCGATGAGGACACCAAGGAATTTACCATCAACTTTACTACTGATTTGTATATTGTTTATTCTTAGATTTGAGGATTTATTACCAAAGAAAATATAGAAAGTTTTGTTAATGTTAAGGGTGAGTTTGTTGGTAGTTAACCAAAGTTAGGTGTTTTCTTCCCTGATTCCATGTATGACTAACCATACAGGGAGCTGGGAATATTAGATAAACTTATAGTGTTTATACCTATACCGCCTAGAGGTGGTCCAGGCGTTCTTGGGACGACGACCATGGGAAGGATCCGATCCGATTCCCTGCACCTTTATTTTCAGTGCAGTAGTCATTGTGGACTATGGCGTTGTGCATGCTGTCTGACCTCTTTGAAAAGTGCGCAACCACGTTGGATATACCTGGAGGAGGCGGCATTGGCACATGTGAGGGATCTGGAGGGTGAGATGGTGCCTGAGCGGTACCGATGTCACCACCTGGGCGATTCAGGCGGTGACATCGACTGAAGCATCGGAGTTGGTCGAATCATCGGTTTCGGAGTCGCACTCTGACAAAACTCAGTTTTATATATAAAGTACATTTGAGAGAATGTGGTTAATATCTACTATATTCAAAGATTTAAGTAAGAGGGCCGAGTGCTGCCCGGGGCTGTTATTATTCTAATAGGTGACTTGTGTTGAGTATACTGGAGCCTGTCATTTAGGTAAGAGTAAGTTAGTTCATTTATTATGAACCCCGTACCCATCTTGTGGGCGGTAGTGGAAAGGGTTACAGAGGCACATAATGGGCTCAGAGACTGAACCCCACAAACATTTAGGTAAGATTGAAGGTATTCGAGGGAGTGACTATCAAGAGCTGCATGTATCAAGTTCATCATACTGATTAAATCATTGGTGCTTTTTCTGTGACTTCAGTTACCTCAAGGTAACTGCAGAGGTAGTGTGTACTACTGTGTGTAGTAGTGTGACGTCTGTAGAAATATTCAAAATATCGCAAATAGGAATTGCAACAAATAAGCGGCGTTAAAAATAAATCTGCTAATGTTATTCTTCAGCTTTATTATTTAGGAAGTGTACAAAGGATGACAAATATAATTTCAGGAACTATAGAAACCTTCCAGACAAATACATTGCTTATCATCTAGAAAAATATAAATGGATAAAATGGAATAACAAATTATACCATATAAAGCAACACAAAATACACTGGATACGTAGAAGATATGTGTAGTCAGAAAGAGGACTGGATACACACATTATTGTTAATAATCAAAATAATGGCTTTTAAATAAAATTGGAATCCTATTGGTCTAAAAAGTTGTGTTCACGGTCGTATTCACAATCTCTAGGGGTGCTGTCACTGAGGTGGACCTGGCTGACAAAAGCCTCCAGCTCAGCTTGTAGTTGTTCAGCAGCCTGCTTCTTGGCTGTGGCTGCTCGCCGTGCTGCTGCTGCCCCCCTGCCGCCACCCCGACCAGTGGTGGCGCCACTTCTCCGCTTGTCACCCTCACCGTTACCTAAAGAATAAAGGTAATAACTAATTAGGTGATCTGTAGTTGAAAGGAAAAACAATCTTATGTCAGTAAACTTAGTCTATGTATTTAGTGATTTAAGAGTCAATTAGTCTATGTATTTAGTGATTTAAGAGTCAATTAGTCTATGTATTTAGTGATTTAAGAGTCAATTAGTCTATGTATTTAGTGATTTAAGAGTCAATTAGTCTATGTATTTAGTGATTTAAGAGTCAATTAGTCTATGTATTTAGTGATTTAAGAGTCAATTAGTCTATGTATTTAGTGATTTAAGAGTCAATTAGTCTATGTATTTAGTGATTTAAGAGTCAATTAGTCTATGTATTTAGTGACTTAAGAGTCAATTAGTCTATGTATTTAGTGATTTAAGAAATGTAAATCGAGAAAAATTTACCTGAATCATTCAAAGATGTTGGCTTCTTGGTTGATGACTTAATCGTCATTTCTTCACTTGATGATCCATCATCGATTTTAACGCTCACTTTTCGGCCAAAAATTTTAAAACCGTCGTATTTTTTCTGAGCTCTAACAGCATCTGTTCGCTTCTCAAAAACTACATGTGCAGCGCCCATTGGCTTTCCAAAGCGATCGTAGTATATGGCTGTTTCACAAATGTCTCCTTGTCTAGCAAAAAAGTCCTGAAGAGCAAAATTTAAGTTATTATAAACGTAATATAAATATTTCTTATGGTTTAAATAATGTATATCCATAAATCAGAAGGGGGTAGTACCCACAATCGGGAATTCCGGGTTCGAATCCCAGGCGGGATTCGGTCGAGCCAGTTTCCAATTACCTAAAGGCCCTGTTTTCACAGAAGTGACATTAAGTAATGCTAAATTAAAGCAGTATCTTCTAAAGATACTTGTAACTTTATATCCTTTCTGCCAATCTAATAAACGCAAAGGTAATAATCCAGCATAGATTGTACTGTGGATTATAATAATCCATATAATCATATAGGGATTTTATGATTTAATTAGATTAATGTATAAATTGACAATTGTACTCTCCATATTTCTCGTAAGTAAAAAGCATAAAAGTCAGGTGTGATAATACAATATGACTTACGTGAAGGTCAGCGCGCGAGAAACCAACATTTAGGTTACTGATGAAGATTTTGGCTGGACCAGCCTGGTGGCGAGAGCGGAGTCCTCTCTTCTGGACTCCACCGTTGTTACAACTTTCATCCACATTATCCTGTAAAATGAGTTTTAATCATGAAGCTTACTGGAGCATGAATAATGGGTACTCAACATTGTAAACAGAATTATATGCCATAAATTATGCAATTGATAATAATTTACATGATAATCTTCGATCCAGGCATTGTTATCAGAGATAATATCAAACATATCACAGAGATCCTAGATGTAGGAAAAGAATAACACAATCTAGGGCTGTCAATCACCCTAAAATGTATACCAAGTCACATTGGCATAGATGTAATGAAAGGACCGACTTCACTAGCAAAAACGTCCACTGGTCTGTTGTACAGGTTAAAATACTCCAAGTTTTTCACAAATTTAGGAGCAAATCGAGAAGAAAATACTCCCAACTATCAAAAATCGTCACAGCCAAAGTAGCGGAAGGCAGATCCACTGCGATGTGGTACAAACAAGCCATTGGGTAATACTCTTTCAAACCAGGCAAAAGGCAATCCAGAAAATCGCAGTAGCATTACTGCAGTGAATTAGTTACTGGGAGGCAATAAACCTAACAGTTAAAGTGTCATATCTGTGGAACAGATGCAGAAATGCCACTGTTGCATTAGTTACCGTGACGCAACTCACACTCAACCAACAAAAGCAGTGCGCTAAAACAAAAGCGGGAGAAAATGAGGAAACCCTCCAACTCTATTTAAAACTACCCCAAATATCACAGTAACAAAGTTATCATGAACAGCCGAACTCAATTACAGGCTCACTATAAATCGTGCTACAGGAACATTTTGTTCTGAGTAGTTAGATCTAAAACAAATTGGAACGTCGCTTTCTCCTGATTAGAAGACGCCAATAAAACGCCTATTATAGTAGGTGTTATTATTGTACTTTTAACGCTTCTAGAAATAAGTACTAGTATCCCAATGACCCACGCAAGACAGCTATGTAGATCAAGTCAAATATATGTATACCGCTTGACAAATCCAAATGCAAAGATGCACAACAAAATTCCTTGATATAAGGGAAAAAGCCGCCTTAAATTACCTCATCTGCCAAAGCTTGTCTGGAGCGAAGGCGGCTGGTGCCCGGCTTGGACATATCTTCCAGACTACCAACGTTAGATGACATGTCTGGTGGCGGAGGTCCGTCAGAGGGAGGTATTCACAGTATTGGGGCTGACAGCAACTGATCTCCTCTGTTACTCTCGTCATATAAATACTAATTGCCGCCTCACTAATTTAATCCTCGAGATCACCTCACCTCAAAATCCTCAGGTAACATTAACTATGAAATGCTTACTGGAAGCTTATTTAGCTTCTGGTAAAATCAACAGTTATGAACTGCAAATTAAGTTTAATACAAATTTATATTTACATAAGAACAAGGTAACTGCAGAAGGCCTATTGGCCCATACGAGGCAGCTCCTATTTACAACCACCCAATCCCACTCAAATACATGTCCAACCCGCGCTTGAAACAATCGAGGGACCCCACCTCCACCTCGTTACGCAGTAATTGGTTCCACAAATCAACAACCCTGTTATCGAACCAGTATTTACCCAAGTCTTTCTTAAATCTAAACTTATCCAATTTATACCCATTGTTTCGTGTTCTGTATTGTGTTGATACTTTTAATACCTTATTAATATAAGAACACGGTAACTGCAGAAGGCCTATTGGCCCATACGAGGCAGCTCCTTCCTATAACCACCCAATCCCACTCGTAAACATGTCCAACCCACGCTTGAAACAATCGAGGGATCCCACCTCCACCACGTTACGCGGTAATTGGTTCCACAAATCAACAACCCCTGTTACCGAACCAGTATTTACCCAAGTCTTTCCTAAATCTAAACTTATCCAGTTTATACCCATTGTTTCGTGTTTTGTCTTGTGTTGATACTTTTAATACCCTGTTAATATCCCTTTGTTATGTCTATTCATCCACTTGTAAACCTCTATCATGTCACCCCTAACACTTCGCCTTTCCAGTGAATGGAAGTTAAGCTTTGTTAATCTTTCTTTATATGAAAGATTTCTAATTTGAGGAATTAACTTAGTCATCCTACGCTTTACACGTTCAAGTGAATTTATATCCATTCTATAGTATGGCGACCAAAACTGAACTGCATAATCTAAATTGGGCCTAACCAGAGCAAGATATAGCTGAAGAACCACACCAGGTGTCTTGTTACTAATGCTTCGATTAATAAATCCCAGTGTCCTATTCGCCTTATTACGAACATTCATGCATTGATCCTTTTGTTTTAAATTCTTACTAATCATAACTCCCAGATCCCTTTCGCAATCCGACTTCGCAATCTCAACACCATCTAGCTCGTATCTTGTAACTCTATCATTACCTAGCCTCAGAACTTTACATTTATCAGCATTAAACTGCATCTGCCAATCTTTTGACAATTTCAAAACCCTATTTAGATCAACTTGAAGTGATAGTGAGTCTTCTTCCGTGTTAATTTCTTTCTTGGAGCTTTCCGAGCCACTGTCTACCATATTTAATAAATCAATAGTCAGGCAGAGTGCCAGTGTCATGGAAGGTAGCTAATGTGGTACCAATTTTTAAGAAAGGAGATAGATCACTTGCGTCAAACTATCGGCCAATTAGCCTAACGTCTATTGTGGGAAAGTTACTTGAATCGATAATTGCAAATACAATTCATCTTCATCTTGAAAAACATAAATTAATAAATGAGTCGCAACATGGTTTTACAAATGGCCGTTCTTGTTTAACAAATTTGCTATCTTTTTATTCCAGCATAGTTGAGGCAGTTGATAGTGGTAAGGATTGTGATGTTGTGTACCTTGACTTTAGCAAAGCTTTTGATACAGTGCCACATGAAAGACATTAAAAAAAATAGAGGCTCATGGTATTGGGGGTGCTATATTAATTAAGTTGGACTAGGGCATGGCTATTCCAAAGGAAACAGAGAGTTAGTATACATGGGGTTAAGTCAGAGTGGGATAATGTTGTTAGTGGAGTGCATCAAGGCTCTGTTCTGGGACCTCTGTTGTTTATAATATATATAAATGATTTAGATTCAGGTTTGAGTAGCAACATCTGCAAATTTGCAGATGATACGAAAATCGATAGGGAAATTAACACGGAAGAAGACTCACTATCACTTCAAGTTCCTAAGAGCTATTCCCTGATATTTTTCAGTTTAGTTTGGCTTATATTCCAGACAACATTATTTTGTTAATGTGTTCGCAGCTGGCGACAAGTTTGGTGTTTATATATATATATATATATATATATATATATATATATATATATATATATATATATATATATATATATATATATATATATATATATATACTCCCTAATCTCTCTTTCACTGTTTCTAGGACCCGCTTTCCCTTTGGCCAGTGTATAGATGAATACTCAGTAATTTACACGTCCGTGGATAATCACAACATCGACGTAAACAACAATTATACTTCTTTTGATAGGAAAATTACACCCTCTCTCTCTCTCTTTTGGTCGTCAGTAGTAGAGTAGGGAGCGGAGAGGTGGGAGTATGGTGCGTGTGTGTGGCCCGGCCGACAGTTGTCTCTCACCTCAGTGGGGAGTTGGACGCTGCGCGGAGCACCTCCCATACACCACCTACTACCGCACACATCCTATCCCCATATCCCAGACACATCCTACCACCCTTATCCCAGATACATCCTACGTACCACAGCATCCCAGACACATATCCTACCCTCACGTCGCACATATCCAAGACACATGCTAACCCCATATCCCAGACACATCCTATCCCACATATGGATTAATTAATCCACCAACCCAGATAAATCCTAAGTCAAGCCCCTGGGGTGACTGATCTTAACGTGAAGGAACACGCCCCGTACTCCAGCATCTGCGACGAAAGGTATTTATTTTCCTCTTATGTGCAGGGAGCCAGCCTAGCTATGGTCGACAAATTTCCGAGTCTATTAACTAGTAGGTGAATATGGGGCACGCATGTCGCCGCCCTCCCTGGGATTCGAACCCATCTGACCAATGAGTTAAGACTGTTGAATCAGTGTTGAGAGACAACTGCCTCTAAACAATAACATTACCTTTGTTGTTCCTGTTTTATGTTGTGTTATGATTATTTTTAGCAAATATAGCATATACAGTATAATCTTAATTTGTCTTGTCAGAGACAGGAAGCATATATATATATATATATATATATATATATATATATATATATATATATATATATATATATATGTGTATAGAATGTGTAATATGACCGAAAGGGTAAAATTATTGATTCTAACACGGATCTTCTCAATATTTCTTACGTTTTTCTTCACTGTCGGGGGTAATTGAAAAATTAACTCTCCAAAGTTCATTTTCTCATGTTTTACTTATGGTCTGACGCCTAAAAGTGTTTCGCAAGGACTTCTCACATTTTTAAAGACAGGTTGAAAATTACCTCTGCTGAAGACATTGATAAACTACAAACAGATATTAACAAAGTTTTCGATTGGGCAGCAGACAATAACATGATGTTTAACGGTGATAAATTCCAGGTACTCAGATACGGCAAAAATGAGGATCTTAAACATAATACAGGGTACAAAACACAATGGAATCTGCCCATAGTAGGAAAACAGCATGTCAAGGATTTGGGAATAATGATGTCTGACGATCTAACGTTTAGGGAGCATAACCAAGCAAGTATTGCATCAGCCAGAAAAATGATAGGATGGATTACGAGAATCTTCAAGTCCAGAGATCCCATCACAATGGTTGTACTCTTCAAGTCGCTTGTGTTGTCCCGTCTTGAGTACTGCTCAGTACTCACTTCCCCCTTCAGAGCAGGAGAGATTGCTGAAATTGAGGGAATACAGAGAACATATACAGCACACATAGACGAGATAAAGCACCTAAATTATTGGGATCGTCTCAAAGCTCTCCAAATGTACTCACTAGAAAGGAGACGAGAGAGATACCAAATAATATACACATGGAAAATACTGGAGGGTCAGGTCCCAAATCTGCACAGTAAAATAACAACGTACTGGAGTGAACGACATGGAAGAAAATGCAGAATAGAACCAGTGAAGAGCAGAGGTGCCATGGGCACAATCAGAGAACACTGTATGAACATCAGAGGTCCGCGGTTGTTCAACGTCCTCCCAGCGAGCATAAGAAATATTGCCGGAACAACCGTGGACATCTTCAAGAGGAAACTAGATTGTTTCCTTCAAGGAGTGCCGGACCAACCGGGCTGTGGTGGGCCTGCGGGCCGCTCCAAGCAACAGCCTGGTGGACCAAACTCTCACAAGTCAAGTCTGGCCTCGGACCGGGCTTGGGGAGTAGAAGAACTCCCAGAACCCCATCAACCAGGTTCACACATATCATTTCATGCTTATATTCGTTTTGGGTGAGGTGATATGACAAATACTTTTGGGGGAGGTGATACAAATTAATGTGTATGAATTGCATATGAGAACATAAGAATGAAAGTAACTACAGAAGGCCTATTGGCTCATATTTTCTCTTGCTGCTTCTATGTTAGTTCGGGGCCTTGAAGTGGGTAGAATATAGTTATGTGTTAATTGGCTGTTGATTGATGGTGTTGACTTTTTTATGTGCAGTGCCTCGCTGATGTCGAGTCTCCAGCTATCGCTGCATCTATCGATGATTTCGGTGTTGCTTGTTAAGATTTCTCTGGTGATGGTCTGGTTGTGGGAATAGATTATGTGTTCCTTAATGGAGCCCTGTTGTTTGTGCATTGTTAATCGCCTAGAAAGAGACGTTGTTGTCTTGCCTATATACTGAGTTCTTTGGGGCTGACAGTCCCCAAGTGGGCATGTGAAGGCATAGACGACATATATATATATATATATATATATATATATATATATATATATATATATATATATATATATATATATATATATATATATATATATATATATATATATATAAGGGAAGGGGGTGGTAGGAGAAAAGCACACAGAAACTGTATTGGAGGGGGACGTACATTCCCTCCAATGCGTTGTGTGTGGTTTCCTCCGAGGCTATGGGTCCCCCTTCTTTGAGCCAGAGGTGGTACTCCCTTCCCTTTTGTTATTTAAAAAAAAATAAATATATATATATATACAATAACCTCCGTTGAGGTTAAGACCGTTTGTGCTCTCTGTTAAGCTTTTTGCGCTACCGCTCACAGGATGAGTATAGGGTGCACAATAAACTAGCTGCCTCCGGCGGTAACAATCAACTGGAAAGAGTTTTCTAAACCCCCGGGTAGAGGCATTAGGTGAAGAGAAACGTGCCCAACCGTTTCTGTCCCTTCAGGGTAATCGAACCCGGGATCCCCCCGATTGTGAGTCGAGAGCGAAGGCAAGTGTTCTACGAGACTCCTTCAGGAGCCATACTTGGAGGAGGAAGGTGGATGTGAGACGTCAAACATCTGGGCTGTTAAGGTCAGGTAGCGTACACAGTGTAGCGTCTGGAGCCCTCACACTCCCCACCACCAGCTGACTAACTTCCTCACACACCCCCACACACTCCTACACACTTTTTACACACTCCTGCACTCTTTACATGCCCTTACACACTCTTCATATGCCCTCACATTCTTCACACACTCCTACACACTCTTCACACACTCCTACACTCTTCACATGCCCTCACACTCTTCGCCCCCCCCCACTCTCCACACCCCCACACACTCTCCACACCCCCCACACACTCTTCACACTCATGAAAGGCTGGTGTACAGGAGGGAAGAAGCAAGCAAGGATAACTTGAAGACAATGAACTGGGTAAGGGAGTACCTGAAGGGCAGAAAACAGAGTCACAATCAGAGACGAGGTGTCGAGTTGCAGGAAGGCCACAGGTGGCGTTCTCCAAGGGTAGGTCCTAGGTCCGCTGCTGTTCCTAATTTACGCGAATAACCTTCCTGGAGGAATGAGACTGTACCTGGCAATGTTTGCCAGGTACAGTTTGAGACTGTACCTGACATGTCATGCTACCTTTGTGTCATGTGCCTGTGACCATGACACAAAGCTAATGATGAATGTGAAAACTTGAGGAGGACTGCAGAAAGTTACAGGATGACCTTGACAAACTCCATCAGTGGGCAAACAAATGGATGCTAATGAACAAATCCACAAGAGCCGTGACGAGGGTTCATTTGTTCATTTGATGCATCACGCTATTGTGATTTCTGTGTGTAATGGATGCTAGAATTCAATCTCAACAAGTGTAAAGTATTGACGAAGGGAATGGCAGAAAGGAAGCCAGAAAGTATCTACACCAATGAAGGAAGGTAACTAAAGGAGTCGGAAAGAGAAGAGGGTTGGGGGGAGTGGATATAAATACAACACTACTTCCAGAGGCTCACACAAACAGGGTAACATCAGCAGCATATGCGACGCTGGCAAATATTAGAACATGGTTTTGAAACCTAAATTAGGATTCATTTAATGCAATTACACAGCCTTCGTTAGACCAATTCTGGAATATGCAGCGCCGGTATGGCATCCGCATCTTGTGAAGCATATAACCAAAATTAAAAACGTACAAAGGTTTGTAACAAGACTGGTGCCGGAGCTAAGAGGACCAAGGTATGAGGATAGCTTATAGGAACTAGACGTCACATCACTGCCAGGGGCCAGATTCACGAAGCAGTTACGCAAGCACTTACGAACCTGTACATCTTTACTCAATCTTTGGCGGCTTTGTTTACAATTATTAAACAGTTAATGAGCTCGGAAGCACCAGGAGGCTGTTTATAACAATAACAACAGTTGATTGGCAAGTTTTCATGCTTGTAAACTGTTTAATAAATGTAACCAAAGCCGTCAAAGATTGAGGAAAGATGTACACGTTCGTAAGTACTTGCGTAACTGCTTCGTGAATCTAGCCCCTGGAGGAGAGAGGAAACATGGGAGTGGGGACATGATTGCAATATACAGGATACTGAGGATAATTAACAAGGTAGACAATGACAACCTCTTTTAAAAGTGAAAGAAAGTATGACAAGAATGGAAGCTAGAAACGAAATGAGTGGAAGAAACGTAAGGAAGTTCTGGAAGTCCCTGTACGGGCGGCCAGCAAGTGGAACACACCTGTCGACGTAGTAGTTATGGAAGCCACCTCCATCCCCAACTTCAAGGTACCCACCTCTCCCTCATGTCTTGTGGTTGGGGGGGGGGGGAACGGGTGCCCTGAAGTTATATAAAAATCCTACAGCCCCAGAAGTTCACCACGGGAGACATCTCCCGTCACGCAGGGTGCAGTCGCGCCTCCACAGATCTCGAAGCTCAATGGCTCAAAAGGGCCACCACTTACGGGTTATTCATGCCCGTGCCACAGGGTGCAGTCGCGCCTCCACAGATCTCGAAGCTCAATGGCTTTGGGTGGCTTAATCTTTATGAATCAATCACCAGAAGTCCAGTTACAGCACCGCTCCTGTGCCAGGTAAGTCCACTACGGCCTAAACAACAACAACAACCCCGAAGTGGCAAGGAGGAAGGACGGGACAACAAAATAGTTAAACTACAACACAAGAGAGGTACAAGAAGGGCGGCAGACGGGGCCTAGAGCTAGAGCTCGTCCCGGGACCCAGCAATAAGTAAGGACACCAACATCGTAACACCAGAAGGAGCGGTAAACAAGATAACACCACCACAACACAACACATACAAACACCACCACATTAACCCCTCACCCTTCAAGGACAATATACACACTCCACATCTGACTACATATATGATAAGCGGCCGCGGCGGGGACTCATTAACCTCTTTTTTGTTTTTGATATATATAGAAGAGTTGTTACATTCTTGTAGAGCCACTAGTACGCGTAGCGTTTCGGGCAGGTCCCTGGAATACGATCCCCGCCGCGAAGAATCGTTGTTACAA